GTTTGCACGCCCCAATCTGGGGACCTGGCCCTCATCCCAGGCATGTGCCCTGACTGGGAAATCAGTTGGGCACTTTTCCATTCACAGGCCAGTGCTCAATCCACTGAGCCACACCAGCCAGGGCTCAAGTAAACTCTTGTGAAAATTCTCTACAGGTTTAGATGTTATATTAACAGTGTCTTCATTAGTTGGGTAGGAATTTGTCTCCTGCACCTTGAGGGTTGGGGCTTGACCTTGTTCAATATTGATCTTTCTAAGACTATGCTTTGTGAGTAGACATTTTCTAAGTGTTTGTCCTACTGGAATAGATTAAAATTATATTTTTCCTGTGTTACGTTTCTGGGATATATTTTTCTCAAACAGGAGCACTATATGGTAGACTGTTGCTGGTCCCCATTCTTCATTCCAGTGTAAGAGAGTTACACACTCACACCCTTGCCATGTCTGTTACCTACCTCCTTGCTTTGCCTGTGCCCATGTGATTTTCTTTGACAAATGAGATGTTAGTGAATGGGCTCGTGCAGCTGGACATGCTCTTGTCCTTTTGTCACTGGTAGTTCTAGGAGAATGACAGAATTAGGAGCTCAGCTGCTCCAGCTAATCAGAAGACCTGTAGCTTGAAGGACAGCTATCCAGCTGACCTGCAGGCCTGGACTGTAGTGATACATACTTCTTGTATGCCACTTAGTTTGGGGTTAATTTGTTCTGTAGTGATACCAGATTGATACATGATGACATAGGGAATAATGATTTTATAACACTTGTTCTGTGTTCATTTTGCTCTCAAGGAAACCTGAAGCCAATTTACCATGCCATCAGCATGATATATGTATACCTGCACACATACTCATGAGGCTCTCCTTGATTTTATCATAAAATTTATTACTAAATGGCTAAAAAAAGAAAACAACAACCATACTACCAACACAACTTAGGATCTTACATAACATCATTCCAGACTGAATTTATTATGTTTACAGTCTTTTTGGAGCACTAATAAACCCTAATAAACCTAACAAAGATCTGTATAATTTTCTTGACCTTTGATAACCATGAGTTTATACTATAATTATCCACAATTCATATAGTCGTTAACCATGTAATACGTATAGTACTACTAATCCTTATTTTTACAAAATAGCCTTGACAATAATTTCTTACATTGGAGATATGAGCAAATATTTATATTAGTAACATTTTAATCAAATGTTATCGTTTCTTTCAGCACCCACAATTTACTTTTAAATTTGTCGAAGCCTAGCTTTAATTTAATAATATAAATTAAAATAAAATGTGGTGGCCAAAAAATCTTTTATAATCTTTGAGAGTATGACAATTTATATAATCTTAGGCTATAAGGATTTTCTCTTTAGTTCAAATAGTCTATTATGCAAATGTCTTGATGGAGCTCTAGTTGTTTCTCCCACTCCAGAAAGGATGTCAGAATCCAGGAGAGCAAGAGTAACATTGAGGCAGGATAGTAAGAAGCTAGGGAAATTCCTTAGCAAGTGGAATTAGGGAAAATAAGACAAAATAATTAAACAAGGCCAAACAATTTGAGCAATTTACAGACAGCTAATGAATCACAAAGTTTATTCTTCCTTAACCAAAGCCACTTAGGAGTAAATGGTTTACAAATTCCAGACCAATCCAGGGCTGACTGTCCTCAGTCCCGGTTCATCTTCAGTGACATTCTTTAAAAATAAAATCAACCATAAAAATAACCCTGATCTCTCTATACACACATTTTGATGAATCAACATATTGAAGGTAACACCTGCAAAGCTAATGAATATTCTGTTAAGGCACTCCCCTGAGACCTCCCCTAGGATTCTGGCCAGCCAAACCAAGATAAAAAGCCTCAAGACAAAAAATACACACTGTCCTTTTGCTAGAACATACTCACACCTTGTATGTCTGCTTATTTTCTCCTAAACTCTGAGGGACTCCTTGAGACTTGCAGCCAGGGGAGCAGTGGGCAGTGGCAGCTTGCCGGGCTTACCCCCTGCACCTGTCTTCAAGGCTTCCTTTTTCCCTTTCTCCTGTTGCTTCTTCTACCTTAAACCTCTCCTTTGTTTTGCTGTCCCTAGCTTTAATAAACATACTCTCAAAATTACCTGCACTGATATTGTGAAATCTTTCCTACACAAAGAGCCCACACACTGTTGGTGGACTCAAAGCAAACCCACTCTGGGCCCAGACTGCATCCAATAATAACATTATAATAATAACTGTGCATCTGTTTCCTAAGTTTTTGCACAAAAAAGAGTAGATTCTTCACAAATATACACAACTTCCTACTTGCGACACACCACACAATTTATTGAGAAATGACATTTTATTTTGCATCCATTGTTAAGAATCCGACCACAAGGAGCATTCCTAAAAGCCAAGTTATACTGTAATTAAGAAAAAGAATTGTGGGATTCTGGTCAAGATGGGGGCATAGGTAAGCATGCCTCACCTCCACACACAACTATAGTAAAAAATAGAACTACACTACAAAACAAGTATCACCCAGAATAGTCAGAAAATTGAACTGTATGGAAGTCCTATAACCAAGGATTTAAAGAAGCCACATTCATCCAGATGATGCATAGGAGGTGCATAGATGTGGAGAGGCATGGAGAGGGGCAGAAATAGGAACGAATGGTCTCACATCCACATGTGGTGGGTAAAAATTGGGAGGGATACCTCAGGAGCAAGAGATCCCAGCCCCAGTCCAGACTGCCCAATCCAGGGTCCCAGCACCAGGAAGATAAGTCCCCATTACTTCTGGCTGTAAAAACCAGTGGTGTTTGGGGTGGGAGAAGAAAAACTGTGTCCTCTTAAAGGGCCCACAATGGACTTAGGATTCATTCAGATGCAACCCCTTTGGGATGCAGCACCAGGGCAAGAGTTGGGAGAGCACCAGTGGCATATGGAGAGAAAGTGAAGTGTGAGTGGGGAGACAGTTTCCTCCCAGGAAAAACTCCAGAGGTAAGGCATGGGCATTGTCCCCTCTGCAAGCGCTCCCCACACAGAGCAACAGAGCAGTGATACCAGTTGCCCCACCCTGGCAACTACCTAAGGCTCTATCCCATACAACATAGTAGATGCGCTAAGACAGGGAGTCAAAGCATCTCTACCTAATACACAGCAACAAACAAAGGGAGGCTGCCGAAATGAGGAGACAAAGAAACATGGCTCAAATGAAAGAATGAAACAAAACTCAAGAAAAAGAACTAAATGAAATGGAGATAAGCAACATATCAGATGCACAGTTCAAAACACTGATTATTGGGATGCTCCAGGAACCCACTGGGTACTTCAACACCATAAAAAAGACCCGGGCAGAAATGAAGATTGCATTAAGCGAAATAAAGAAAAATCTATAGGGAACCAATGGTGGAGGGGATAAACCTGAGAATTAAATCAACTATTTGGAACACAAGGAAGGAAAAAGTATTCAATCATAACAGCAGGAAGAAAAAAGAATTTAAAAAACCCCCAAGGATATTAGAGAAAGAGCATAAAAACCTGTTTATATGATAATTTAATGAAGTATAATTTATGGTGAAAACAAAAAACAAACAAACAAAAAACAAAGATAGAATAAGGAGCCTTGGGGACATCTTCAAACATACCAACATCTGAATCATAGGGGTGCCAGAAGGAGAAGAGGAAGAGCAAGAAATTGAAATTTTATTTGAAAAAATAATGAAAGAAAACTTCGCTAATTTGGGGAAGGAAATAGACATATAAGTCCAGGAAGCACAGAGAGTCCCAAACAAGATGGACCCAAAGAGGACCACACCAAGACACATCACGATTAAAACACTAAAGGTTAAAGATAAAGAGAGAATTTTAAAAGGAGCAAGAGAAAAGCAGAGAGTTACCTACAAAGAACTTCCCATAAAACTGTCAGCTGATTTCCCAGAAGAAACTCTGAAGGCTAGAAGCAAGAATTATTCAAAGTGATGAAAAGCAAGGACCTATAACCTAAATGACTCTATCCAGAAAAGCTATCATTTAGAATTGAAAGGCAGATAAAATGCTTCCCAGACAAGGTAGAACTAAAGGAGTTCATCACTACCAAACCATTATTATATGAAATGCTAAAGGGAATTACATAAGAAAAAGAAGATCAAAATGATGAACATTAAAATGGTAATAAATTCACAACTATCAATAATTGAATCCAAATAACAAACTAAGCAGAACAGGAACAGAATCATAGATATGGAGGTCATTTGGAGGGTTATTAGTTGGAAGGGGGAACAGGAAAATGGGGGGAAAGGTGCAGGGATTAAGAAGCACAAATTGGTAGGTACAAAATAGACAGGTGGATGTTAAGAGCAGAATAGGTAATGGAGAAGCCAAAGAATTTATATGCATGACCCATGGACATGAACTAAGGGTGTGGGAGAGGGGGTGGATTGCTGGAAGAATGGCGATACAGGGTGGAGGAGGGCAAAGTCGGAAAAATTGGGACAACTGTAATAGCATAATCAATGAAATATGTTTTAAAAAATTGCTTAAGTAATAAGAAAAAATGGTACTGTCAAAAAGTTCTATAATTGAAAGCTTGAGTGAGACACAGATGAGAGGGAGGGGTCCTTGGGCTCCTAAGCCAGTCTAAGTTTATTAAGCTCCCTTTGGCTTCCTTAACAATTCTGATGGAAGCAGTCAAAAGAAAGTCATGCCCATCTTGTCCTCCTGACCCCCGTCCCTCACCCCCCATTGAATCATATGGCATCTGGCTTTAACAATCACGGAACAAAAACCTCATTGCCCAATTTAACCTTCCAAGCCCCGGAGCTGTGTGGCCTGTTAATCCAGTTTACAAAAGCATGCCTGCTGCCTTTTATTCTCCGGGAGGCTGGGCACAGTGTTGAGCTCCACAGCTGATCAGCTTTGGAACGTTCCAGCAGCGTGCTTGGGGCCTCCAATGTTTATTTAGTGGGCTTCGCCAAGGGCCCCCTGGAGTTGGCTTTGCACGCCCTGGCCGCAGAGGAGCCATGTACAGGCGCAGCTACGTCTTCCAGACCTGTAAAGAGCAGTATGAGCGCACCGCAGAGTCGTCCGACTGCCATGCGGAGGGCTCAGCCAAGGTGCCCAACCTGGAGGTGCTGCTGGAGCTCAGCGAGCGTGTGGCCTCCCACGTTGAGCGGGCCCGAACGCTGGAGCAGCGCCATGGCGTCCTCCGGCGGCAGCTGGACGCCTTTCAGCGCCTGGGCGATCTGTCCTGTCCAGCGGATGCCCTCATCCGCCAAGTCGAAGGCAACCGCCAGCGCGTCCGAGACCTGGTGGCTGAGCGCGCCCGACTGGAGCACCAGGCTGCAGAGGCGCAGCGCGAGCTTGACGAGTACCGTAGCAAGTAAGCGTTGGTCGTGGGAGGAAACTGAGGCAGGGCAGGGGGCGGCAGCCGCAGCGTGGATCTGAGAGCAGACTCCCACCGAGGTTGGAGAGCCATCTTTGGTTTCAGGTCCTAATTTCTGCACGGTGTCTGGAGCATGCCCGTGGTGCATTTACCTAAGACTAATTTCTATTTTGAAAGCATTTCACAGTTTACAGGAAATGTTATCATTTACTTTTAATGTGTTTAAAAATATAGGTATAATTTACATAAAATAACATGCACAGATTTTAAGTACTCAGTTCAGTGAGTTTTGACAAATGTACATACCTATGTAACTACCAAACAAGCAAAATACTTCCTTTGCCCTAGAAAGTTCCTTTCTTCCCTTTCCAAGTCAATCTTCAGTTATCATCTGGAACCAGCCCCCTCCCCCAAAACCCCATAGGCGTCCAGTGTCCTCATTTCTATCACAATAGATTAATTTTGCCTGTTCTAGAATTTCACAAAAATGAATTATTATGGATGCACTCTTATGTACCTGGCTTCTTTTGCTCAGCACAATACTTTTGAGATGCATTAATGTTATTTAATCCTCACAGGAAGTTATAGACGCTATTGCCTGCACCGGTTTAACAGATGAGGAGACTGAGGGTCAGAAAATGCAGGGATTTGGAGCAAGGACACTCAGCTAGTGAATTGATGCACTAGGACTGGATTGGAGTGTTGGGCCTGCTAAGTCTAATTGTCTTCAACACATCGCAGCGAACAACTGGAAAATGTTATTTAAAATGTGGTCCGTGGACCAGCAGCATTGGCATCACCCAGGAGCTGGCTGGAAATGGAGACTCTTGGACTCATTCCAGAGCTCCTGAATCAGAAGCTACATTTAAACCAGACTCCATGGTGATTGTAGTTTAAGGAGTTTCAGAGGCTGCGGTCCAGCGTGTTGTCCAGAGCCTGGTACCGCTTCTGGCAGACTGAATACTGTGTTAAAGTCAGCCATTAAAAAGAAAAAGTATCCTCAGCAGTTTGTCAACATCTTTCCAAGTTATAAATGCATATAGTCTTTGTCTCAGCAGGGCCATTTCAAGGAATTTACTCTATGATGCTCCAGCAGATGTCAAGTTTATATCTACAAGGATATTCACTGCCGTTTGATCTGCAGTAGCAAAAGCCTGGAACCAACCTAAATACCTATTAATAGAAGACAAGTTGTAAAATTGTGCTTCATTCATATAATAGTATACTATGCAATTGTACAAAACAAGAATAGTGTGTTATTGACATTTATTTAAAAAAGAAAGGAGGAAGAGTAGAGATTTTTTTTTGCTTGCATAAGGGAAAAAGGATGCAAACACACACAAAAAACTAATGATGCTGGTTACACGTGGGGGATAAATGAGTAGGAATTGGGAGACAGAAGCATGAGGAAGACTTTAACTGAACATCCTTTTATGTAGTTTAAAAATACTGTCTAACCATGTAAGAGGTTTATCCATTTAACAATTATATAAATTAATTTAAAATATATAGATGTTCACGCCCCACCCTGGACCTCAGGTGGGGCCCAGGAATTTTCTTTTTTTTTTTATTTCCATTGATAATTCCAGTGAATGTCTTGGTCTAGGGTATCCAGAGGGCTTTTTCCAAACGTGTTCTCTGTTTGAGTTCTACATCCTCAGTCCAAATCTTGGGCAGGTTATTCAACTCTGTGTACTGAGGATATATATATATCAGATATCATTAGATATCAGATATCAGAAATCATTGCTTTCATTTCTATCAGTCCTTCTGTTTCTGGATTTGATTCAGAGAAACATATTTGGAGCTGGAAAAATGGACCTGAAAATTCACCTGTTACAGCCCTTCATGTTCCCATGGCTTGGAGAGAGGCTTTGGGTGGCAGAACTTAAACTCAAGTTTTCTTACCCTGGGTCCATACTCTTTCTAGAACACTGTCATGGAGGGAAGTCATTTTTGGGACTCCTGTGGAGTGAGGTGTAGTGATAGGACTAGACCTTATTCAAATGAAGCTCATGTTCTCTAGAGCAAAGGGAAGTATACTCTGGCTCAGACACCCAACTTCATAGACAATAGGAGCCCCTAGGTGGCCTTGGGTTGTTAAATGAGGGCCCACTGTGATTTGGCTGGGCAGGCACGAATCCCTTGAGCCCCCAATGAAGAAATGGCCATATTGACTGTTCCTGACTTCACGTGGTTCTGAGTTATATCTCCACCATGGAGCAGTCCCTTCAGGTTCTGTGACTTATTTAATACTTCCCATAAGTTTATTTCTCCTCTTGCCCGCTTGGGGAAGTTTTGATATTCTGATTGGGGTAGTGGGATTTGAAAATTATTATAAAGGCCATTAAAGTCATGACCATCCACATGCGTGGATACACATACACCAAGTTGGGTTTCACATTCCAGAGGGGAATTGATGGCTAGCCAAAGCAGGTGAAAATGATGCAGAAACAAGAAGGTGTATGTGGCCTTCTTAGGCATATTTACTACTTGAATAGTTTAATAATTTCAAAATTAGGTCTTTAGTATATCAAAGACTAGATATAATCAAGCTAAATAAAAACCAATAAAGCCATCACATAATTGAAGCCAAAGTATTTTTTTCATTTTAGGGATGTGAAAGACATTGGGAAGCAGTGGACTTGGAAATGCAGCCTCAGCTTCTGCTTTAAAGTTAGGAACCCCTTCTAAAAGAGCGGACACAGTACTCATATTGGATTAAATTTAATGCTGATTGTTTGATCAACACTTGTGGAATTTAGAAACTGCTCAGCTTTCACTCGTATGTTCAATTTGCAGGTATGAAAATGAATGCGAATGTCAACTGCTGCTAAAGGAAATGCTTGAGCGTCTTAACAAGGTGAGCTGAGCACATCCTTGGGTTTGAGTAGATTAATGACAGAACTGAATGAAAGAGCTGCACTGAGTGTTTCCCACACCTCCTCTTTGTGTTGTTTCAAGATCCACCTATTTCTTTTGCTATCATGCTCTTTCTTGATTTTGTAATTTCTGCTAAATCTTTGTGTGAACTCACATACCCAGACACACACTTCTCCACTACATGATAACAGGATCTTGAGAGAGAACCTAGACTATTAAGCTTATTGCTTGTGCTGGGCTGTCAAAATGTGCCAGTATTACAATGACTGGTTTTGTTTTGCTATTAAGGCATCCTGATCATAAACACCAAATTTAGGAGTGAACTTACTTTGGCCAGTGCTTATTTGGATGCGATGATACCTCTGTCCATTTGGCTAAGAGTCTTGAGAATACTTCTCCACAGGAAAACTTTCAAGAGAGCAGTGGAAAAAGTGTCCATTTCTCCTGAAACTCCTCACTCTTGAAGTAGTCCTGTGGGAGACACCAAGGATTCTTAGCTTCTTGCTGGAGACACTCCTGCAGAGGTTGTGTGGGGTTGTTCTTTGTAGGGGCAGATTCCTTCCTCTGATCCCCCATTATCCTGATAGATTAGATTTTTTGCTTATCAGGAGAATCTAACTACCAAATAGCAGAATAGACCTGGACCACAGAGGTTGGATAAATTAAGGGTGGTAATTTTCCTTTCCTGATCATTTCAGAGCTCAAATGTCAGAGCATAAGGACCCATGGCGACTGTTTAGTTGAAGTTTAGTTGAAGGGTTTCTTGTTCAGGACACAAGTCTGCCTTTCACCCCTGCCTCCCTGCCCTGCCCATAACCTCATCAGAATTGCTAATAAAACATGCTCCCTTCCCTTTTGTGCCCAGGTGTGGTCTTAAGATTCTTTTCTACATGAAACTCCAGACAGCCACTTCAGACAGTCAGGGTTAGCTCAGGATACTTGGTTTCTGTGACGTTGTCCAACCTCAGTTGTCTAGGATTATTCTGCTGGTTGATTGGAAAGTCAGAATTAAAATCTGGGGAAACTGAATTTTTCTTTTTCTGTGTTTACCTACCACCTGATACTTGTGTGCCCTTCTCTGTGTGGATGTATAATGTCCAAACTAGGACAGCGTGTGAAAGAAGATATAGTTTGTATGGTAGTAACTGGGACTGTCTCAGGCCCACTGGAACATATAAGCACCCCAAAACATAAAGGTGGGGTGAGAGTGTATTTCAGTGCTTGGTCTTATATGGATAGTTGTGATGATCAAGCCTGTAGGAAGTCTGTGCTGGGATTTGGGCCTTAGTAGCATCTGACATTACCTAGCTGTTCTGCTGACACTAGTAGTTCATCCCATTTTTATTTTGGTGGTGCCACATGGGGCTTCCATCTTGTCCACAGGCCACTTACCTCAGGGACATAGATACCTGACACCCTTCAGGTAACGGCCAGTCTAGCCCCTCCTCAACACCCCCATGTTTTGGTGTGAGTGTTTGTCCTTGCTGCACGAAGAGCTCTCTCTGGAGTTACCGCTAAGGTTGTCTCTTACCTGGTGTCATTGTGTACATTTCTTAAATAAGGAAAGTGACACTAGATTTAAAGACAGCCTCAAACCTTCTGCTGTTTTTCTCATTATAAAAACAACATATATTCTCAGTAGAAAAATAAGATAGTAGAGATAATGAAGTATAAGGGAATGGCATCCAATCATTTCACCCCTCTGAGAACGCACCTTTATGTATCTTGTGACAGTGTGTGACAGTTGAAGTATCAGCCCTGTGAGAATGTTACAAAAGATCCTGGGTAAACATGCTGCTGAGAACATGGGTGAGGGCCAGTTCAGGACATCCGTGTGGCTGTTACCTGGGTCCAGGGAAAGACACTTCTGCCTAAAATGGGCTGTGCTCTTCAAAAAGAAGTACTTGTTAACAGGACCCTTCACACTACTGCTGAGTATCTGTGAGACTTTGGGTGAATTGTCTCATCTCTCAACCTCAGCTTCTTCATCTGTGAAATAGGAACAGTAATAGTTCCCACCATCATAGGAGTAGATGTGTGCCTACTGGGAATTAAATGACGTAATAATGTATGTGACTTACCTGTCATGGTTGTTAGTGCAGAGCACTTGATGTTATGGATGCCAACTTAGTTTTCTCTAGAGGGTGGGGTATATAAACCTGATGCAGGGAGAGATGATCTTAGATAGTGCATGGAGGAACAGCTTTTTAATTGTTGTGCATTTATTTTATGCTTACCTTTCTCTACAGCAGGTGACATAAAAAAAGTTTCTTTTTAAATACATGCAAGTAAGAATGAATCAATTTGAAGAAAATACAGGGTATTTGAATAATGCAGTAAGTGGTACTCAGATAAAGTAGAAATCATGAACACAGCATGTAAATGCACTGAATCAGGAGGTCCTTGCACTACCTTGTGGGGGCCTTGTGGTCATTGGTTCACACCCAGAAATGACCGAGTCCAGCCCCCTCCCTTTCTTAGTAAGGAAACTCATCCTGGTGGAATTAAATAACTTCAGGGCCTCACCATCCACCTGTGGCAGGTATAGGCAGGAGTAGGGTCTTTGTGTCCATGGTTTATTTTCCACCCCTTAAGGACAGTCAGGGAACCTCTTGTCTCCCATGAGACAGGCACAAAGCTTGTGTCTCTGGGTAAATATGGCCCCTTCACACTCGACATGCCCTGTCCATCTCCCCTGGGCCACCCCCAAGGTCACTCAGATATGCTGAGCACACTGGCAGCTTCCTGTATGTCTCTGGCTATGGGAACGTGTGTGATCTGGAGGAGGCACAGTCCAGAGGGTGGGCATTAGCAGCCCAGGAGCAACCTTCAGCCACTGAGGGACAGAAGGGTGAGTCCTTCAGCTGGTCCACCCCTTGCAGCAACAGTTCAGAGGCGAGTTTCCCAGTCTCTCAGTTGTCTGGTGTGGTGATTTGCTTATTGCATATACTTGCTTTCTTTCTTTCCTTGTATCTCTCCTGCCTCCCCTACCAGTGCTCCTGGAATCACCTCTCAGATAAATGACATGTCCCCAATCCTTGCCTCAGCGTCTGCTTCTAAGGAACCCAAACTAAGACAGCCCCTCAAGGGTCAGCAGGGGAAGGCTGGACCTTCAGATTCTCTGTCCATTAAGATCATCAGATGAGAAGGAGGTGAAATGGAGGAGTAGAATTCACATCTTTTTGGCTGCTCATATCAACGATTTTGGTTGACAAATCTTTGAATGTCTTTACACATCAGATCAACAAGGTTTTGACTATCAACTCAGCCTCAATGCCCATTTCCTTTTGTCTCAAGGAGGGGATTCATCCCTGTGGCCCTGGGAAATGGGGTACAGCTGGGATCGTTAACCTAGTCTTTGAATCTTGCTTGGAAAATATCACAGTGTATGTGACAGCACGGATTACCCTTGTTTTCACAAAATTGCTATCTATTAATAACTTCCATGTGATTAAATCTCCACTTAAATAAAGAGCTATGGTATTTTTAATAGCAAGTAAACTAAAGCAAGCCACTATTTGCGATGCACTTTGAAATGAAATAAATTTCTCAACATGCCACTAACATACTATAGCCAAAGTTATTCAGATTTGAAGACTTTTAATGTAGTAAGAGTTCCTAGTAACTTTTAAGTATTTGGGTTTGGTTAACCTCTAAGACTCATACAGGGTCTGGCAGAAGTAACGCACCTGCTTGAGTGTGGTTGGTAGGGTAATAATATGGGTGTAATAATTTATAGTTTTAATTTGAACATTTCACCTAAAATGTCATATGGTGTGCTCAAGTATGATATTGTCATGTTACAGAATTACATGCTAATGATTTTGTAATAAAAGATTTTATGATAAGAAAAAATGGTGTTATTTGTGCTGGACCCTGGACTCACTGCATGTGTGTATAAATAAAATGTATATAATATCACATTAAGATATTATATTTATATATGTCATATATATCCCAATAATGCCTGATGTTGCTTATCTTAAGAAAATTGTAAGGAGCAGACTTTATTTCTATTTTTTTCTTTTAAAATCCACAGAATTTAAAAATGATGTAGGCTCTAGTCAAGTGCTTTTCCATATGATTTATGTATCTTAAACATATGGAAAAGAGAAAGAGGTTAGGGGGCTTAGGGACAAAAATGTGTGCAGGAAACGTTTTCTTTCAGGGCTACAAGGCTTTATATATCTGAGAATCCCTCTTTGGCTGGAATGAACTTCTGGAGAAGAGAAGGAGGGGAAACCAGGAAAGAGGAGTTTAAGGAGGAGGATGGGGCTGCGGAGGCCCAGAGAATGGAAGGGCAGAGGAAGAGTGAGGAAGAATGTAGAGGGAGGGAGAGCAGAGTCAGGAATGAGGCAGTGGAGAGTTGTCACACACGTCCAGCACTTTTCTCCATACCAGCCTGAGCACCTGGGGGCAAAGTGACCAGAACATTCTTAAAAAAGTTTTTGATATCCAGGATCAAAGTAGGTGTTTTTTTTTAAAAAAATTAAACTTAATTAACTAGAAATCTTAATGAACTTGAATGCTCATTCTTTAGCAGTTTTTGTTGTTGTTGCTGTTTGTTTATTTGTTTTTGAGTTGGGCTGCTCAGAGGTTGGATTTGGGTCTGTATATAGATACAGACAGTGGGATTTTATTTTAAATCATCACCTGAGAATTTGTTTTTATTGATATTACAGAGAGAGGAAGGAGGGGTAGAGAAAGAGAGAGAGGGGGGGAGAGAGAGAGAGAGAGAGAGAGAGAGAAACATTGATGTGAGAGAAAAACATTGATCGGTTGCGTCCCGTATGTGGCCCTGCTGGGGATCCAATCCACAACTTTTTGGTATATGGGTGATGCTCCAACCAACTGAGCTATCCAGCCAGGGCAGACAGAGGGATTTTTAATGAACTTTTAGCATCTCTATGAGTGGGTTGGCAAGGCTGATTTTTCAAGGGTACATTGGATTCTAGTTATGTCTCCAGACTCTTCCTCAAT